GACACCTGAACATTGGGGCCATCCTGCTACAGTGCCTGGATGAAAATGCCTCTGTACAGCTTCTGACGCATGAGACAAGCACGCAGTTGAGTTACTGGGTACCACACGGTCAGCCGCGGTGTAGTTTTATGAGGCAGAACATGCAGGTTTAACAGCTCAACTCACCTAGAAAGAAGAGTTTCTGGTCTTTCTCTGGTCCTGGCTGTGTTATTTCCCTGATGCCAGCACGATTGCTCATCAGATATGCTGTGAGTCAGTTCAAGTTGCTAAAGTTGCAGGAGAAAACAGCAGCATGCAAGAAAAGAGTTGAATTGTTTCCTGCTGGTTTAATTTATTAAAACAGCTCTTGGAAGGGCCTAGTGCTAGGCTGGGGTTATATTGGGCAGGGGAGAAAAGTGGTGACTGCCCAGCCAAAGGTAGGAGCTACTAGTTAGAGTAAGGTCAGCTGCCTGTGGATCTGTACCCTTAACAGCCTGCCTGGCTGCTTTGCTGGTCGTTTGAGCCCACCATTTGACAGAAGACAAAACCATTGATCAGTCGGTTAATACCATGGCAGTAGCCTAGCATGCATCTAGTATGGAAGGGAAAGAAAAAGCAAATAGTAGACTAATAGTATAAATTGCAAGGCTGCTGTTTGTTATAGCAGGAAGCCTACTCAAGGCAAAAAAAAAAAAAAAGGCTGGATTCAAACAAGGTTAACAAGTACAATACACTGAAGTTACTATCCATTGCAGATTTAGATTTTATGGAAGGGATGAAACAATTCTCTGGAAAGCTCCAGCAACACCCACTGTCTTTTAGATTGCAGCCTTTCTCCTCACCTTCAGTGCTGAAAAGCAGTGCAGGAAAGAAGCATGGGAAAGGAAATGGAAATCCAGGAGCCCAGACTTGAGTCTTGTTACTTGCTCAGTATGGAGAGAGTTCCCAAAGCCAGCTGTTGACTGTGCTAAATTTAATACAAATCAGTTAAATTTTAGAGCGAGCCCAAGATTTTGAACTTGAGAAAGGAAAAAATAACCAAACCAGTGGAATTCTGAGATTTTCAGGCCTCCTGTGATTTTACACTCAAGTCTTGAAATGTGTTCTTTGTTGCATGGGATTCGGGAATAGTTGTAGAGGTAAGTAATTTCCCCACAGGAAGACCTTTTGGCAGTCTAGTTTCTGCAGCTATAACTGAGATGACGTAGCTAACCAGCCTGTGAAAGCAGGAAACCCAGCCTGTGAAAGCAGGAATCGCAGCACAGACTCAGAAGCGTGGCTTTTAACTCAGCCCTTTCTGCCAGCAGTACACTGCTTGACGTAGGTCACTGCTGGTATGTGTGTGTTAGCATACCTTGACAGAGCTAAGATTCAAAACTTAACCGTCCTTTTATTCCTTATTTCTCAAGTCTGGCTATCCCGTTTATACTAGTATAGTAGGATTGGGTATCAGCTTGTAACTGTCACAAATCAAGGCTGCATGAGCCTTTTGGAGTGTCTGGGTCAAGATCTGAATATACTGTAGGGCTTAATATTTCCATCAAAGCCCTGATGATTGTACAAGGCCTTAGGGATTTCCACTAATTGTCTGCTACTTTTGCAAACCCTGCTGGCTCTCATCATAGACCTGTAATTCACAGCTTCGTTCTACACACTGCTTATCATTTTAGGATTTTCTTTAATACAGGAGGCTTTGTTATTGCACTTTTTTTTTTTAAAGTTAATCCATGTGATGCAAATAACTGGTGGAGTAACTGCTAATGAACCATTGTTTAGTTACTCTAATCAATTTTACAACAGGTGTGTGTGAAAACTGTGCAGGTACATACAAAACCTGTCCAACCTGAATGCCCTGTCTAAGGAAATTTTTTCAAGCATGCCATTAAAGCATCTACTGCTGCAGTTAAAAATACAGTAGACCTACACTGATCATATTTGTCATCCCATGAGCAAAGAGGCACGTCTGCCAGCCCTACTGTGGTACTAGCAATCAGCTCAGTGAACTTAAGGTGTTGCCTACAGAATTTGTGTGAATACATAGAACGTTTTGGAGCAGCGTCATTGAGGATTGGGGTCACTTATAAATGTGGGGAGGTTAGCAGCAGGTGCTGACTACTTTGACAAGAGAAAATTGCCTTTTCTAAAGCTCAGCAAGGTGATGTGCAGGAAAGCTTGATGCTCAGTGGGTTGGAGTGCCTCACCAGTCATAGACAAAAAGGAAATTCTGAAGTCAGCGGTAGAAGAAAGCTGACTGGTCATGAATTCCCAACTTCCAGGTTCCCAAACATATTTAAAATTTATGTTTCCCTTAATCAAATAGTCTTTCCTCCCTGTAGACTTGTAAGAACTGCTTCCTGATGGAGCACCTATGAAATCAGCAGTCAGCCCTTAAAAAGGGAAGTGGCCTTCTGCATCCAACGCTGTCCAAGGGCCCTGAGGACCTAAGCTGACTCCCTGTATTTGGAAGGCATATTGTACAGCTCAAATGAGCGGACAAAAAATATCTGATCCAGTTCCAATGAACGTCCTGTACAGCTATTACTCTTTCAAAATATTTTGAACAGTCCTGGTAAAGTGATGACTCTGTACCCATTTAAAACATTGAGTCTTTTGGCTGCATTGTTTGAATCTGGTACAAAGAGTTCCAAATCCTCTCTCAAGGACCAAGATTTAAATTTCTCTTTACATTTAGCTTCACAAGTACTTCCTTGAAATGGCCTCAAGCTGCATCAGGGGAGGTTTAGATTGGATATTAGGAAAAATTTCTTCACGGAAA